ACTGATCGATCCTGAGAGTGGTCGAGTAGATGTGGGTGATGCGGATATCGGCGGGGATCTTGTCACCGACAGACACCTCCACCAGATCACCGGGCACGATCTCTTTCGCGCGCACCTTCTGGATGCCGGACTTGTCCTGGCGCACCACCTTGCCCATCTCAGGCTCGTACTCCTTGAGGGCCTCGATGGCCGACTCGGCGTTACGCTCCTGCCATACTCCCACCACGGCGTTGGCTATCAGAATAAGTAAAATAACTAGGGGCTCTACAAATGCAGTGAACGTTTCCTCGTGTTCCTCAAACAGGGCGAGAACCTAAGGGATGAATATATAAGGAGAAAGGGTTTTTGCATGAGAATCTTAAAATCCAGGGTGGGTTGCGTTTCGTTTCGCTTGGGAACGTGACTTACAAATGAGATGATGGCTGCCAACAGCAGAATCTTCACAAGCAGATCGTCGAACTGCTCCAAGACCAGCTGCCAGATGCTCTTTCCTATGGAATACAATGGTTATTATTAGAAAACAATTAAATGTTAGGCAAGGCGGGGGGCGGGAGAGGGAGGGGATCTGATCGGGTTGACTTCGCACCTTCCTCGGTCGGCAACTCTGTAACGATAAGAAAACAAACACGTCAGTCGATTCGAAAGGGGATTACTACCACCAAGCAATTCTCACCGTTGGGTCCATATTTCTTCTGGTTTGTCTTGATCTGGTCGAGGGTTAAACCGCGCTCTGCGTCCGTTCCGAAGAAGTTGAGAGACTGTTCGACGGTTTTCGAGTGGCCGTCTTCCATCTTGATTCGTTATCCTCTTCGTTCAGTAGCCTGCGTTTTGAAAATAGACACAAGGCAAGACATTCATTTTAGTTCTCTAGATGGGCTATTTTCTGGGTTCTACGACTGATTCTGACTGGAATAGCAAATGTGTATGCACGTACATATGTATGCACGGGGCCGTTTGCAGTTAAAACTACCTCATTAGGTTCTGAATAAGTGTTCGTACATGTGCATGTGCACACGGGAAATGTGCACATACACAGGAGCTATATGCTAATTTTCAGATACTTCGGGCCACTATTAAGTCGCGCAGTTATCGCGCCAACTTTGGATTGGATCGGATTAGAGAATATGCTGGAATAATTGCATTACCCTGGCCAAATCGCTCCGCTTATGAGATTCACACACGTGTCACTTCGCACAACAGACGCAGTTTCAATTTCTGCGTACTTTTTATTGGGGAACTTTAATCCGGAATATCGGGTAATCCTACGTTAGCCTCGCAAAACAACGCACTGCGTGTGTTAAGTACTTTTTTCCACTGATTTTCTATATATTATAACCCATGGCGCTTTTTTCTAAATATGTGTGCTGATAACTATTGCACTAAGTCTCGGGCCGCGCATTACTGCCTATCGGCGTTTCTCTTTGACTATGACACGACATTATTCGGAACAGGGCTGACTGAGAAGGTATATCGCTAATCGCAAGACTCCTACCTGTATGCTCATCCAAATAATTATGGTTTTAAAGCTTTAAAAACCTTATTTATTTCACTTTTTAATGTGACCCCTATATAAGCGTTAAATATCTGCTACTCAAGTGCAATTGCCGGCGTTATCGATTTTTCGGCATTCAAGTACGATAGTTAACTGGTGAGTTTCCAGATTAAAAAGTACCGATTACTGTGGTGAAAAACAAATTCAAGTCCTTATGACCGTTATTATATTTTAATATTTCGAAATAGGTTAATTTCTTCTTTTCAAAATAACCTCTATCTTTAATGTAATAAGAATTAAAAACCCTTATCAAAATTATTAGAAACTTATTTATATATTCCATCCAGCGAGCAAGTGAGACAACCGTACTGTCAACCGCACAATAAGCAACACTTTTCTTCGCACATTTTTTGCCCAAATTAATGAGATCAAGAGCCCGCAATAAATAGATCTGGGTGCCAGGTATTCGCCACCAGCGACATTTTTAAATTTTAATTTTAATCTTTTTGCGACCAGACATTAGAATCAGGCCATACGGGGAATTTTGAACGGCAGCCAACTCGCGTAATACTTGGATATTACGTACGGGGAATCACAATTACATACGAAACTCCTTTCAATAGTTTCCCGCTTCAATAAAACGTTATTTTTCGAAAAACTGTCAAGAAATCTGCTCGATAACGACTTATATTTGAACACACAGACGTATTTCGAAAACACCTATATGACAGTCTATATTTCTAGTACACACATGCAAAAGTCTATATGTGTGCATTATGGAGCAAAAAAATCGCCTCTGTCCGAGATGGGCTAAAAATAGAGTCCTAGCACCCGAAAAATACAAGCACAATTTTGAACATTCGTAGATATAAAGATATGTACTAGAAACACATAAATAAGTATGAATGTACATATACAGAGAGACGATCGTAGGGAGAAATATTCTATTTGGTTATATGTATGATTTAACGGCTTATGATATTTCGAGCAGAGATATCTGCATTCTAATGGATGTCGACATTTGTGCGAGACGATTTCTATGTCCCTGATTAAATAATTCCGATTGGCAAGGCCCACTAATGAGTTGTATAATTATTAAGTGAGTTGGGACATGGTACAAAAAAAATGTGTCTAGGGCATGTTTTGGCCCAGATCCTGGGTCGAATGTATTTATACTTTTTTCGCTCTTTCAAAACTTGGTCTTATTTGCATTTTTTAAGGAAAGTCAGTTACTAGCACTCACTGACATAACACCAAATAAAAATTGCGGGCAAGGACTAGAAGTGATCGTGTTTGGTGATAGCATTGGGTAAAAGACATGCATTCGATTCGGATACGGATATTTCCCACCGGTTGCATAATCAGATTTTCAATCACAAATACATAGACCTCAGGCACTTGGGGAAAACTTTACATCTGTGTCGGATCTATTCGTGGCGTGCTCTCGTATTGGTGACATTCAAAATTTTTAAATCGACTCCGGAGGTCGAGGCCGCTCACTGTTTTGTCCCCCTTACGAATATCTCGAACTGTACGAGATGATCGAGTTTTGGACTCTGGGAGGGTGATAACTAAACTAGGAAGACACTTTGGAACACGGTTTTTCGAGTGTAAGCATGTTCGTATGTAGATGTAGGTATTTCGTATAACTTTTTAATTTTCCAGGTTTTCTTTTAAATGCGCGCGGTTGAATATTTAAACATTTTGGGATATATTTTCTTGTACTTAATGGAATTTTGTAGTAAATCACTGCGTATTCGCTTTGGAATTGTTGCAAAAAATCAACAAAACTTACAATTATTATTCCTAGTAAAAATTCCGTTATTATATAATAAATTTATTTAAGTCGGAGGACCAAGAGCTAACACAAAGATCGCGCTATTATAACGATCAACGGCAACTGAACGCAAGGAGAACGCTGCTCGATGAGAGTGTCTATTTGAATTACAAAATTCATATATTTTGGCAAAATTCCCAAAACTACATACACTCTCTATTTTGGCCCGGGAAAATACTTTTAGCACGCACAAACTTTTGAGCACTTACCACCTATCCTATGCGAACCGAAATGTTGGCGGTTCTGTTCTGCTCGTGTTTTTCAAATCTCGCCGAAGCAAAATATACTGCGGTCCCCAGCCTCAAAGATATATGTATGCACATAGGTGGGAATACCACAAGCACACGAATATATATATATCTGATCGGCGGGAGCACCGATACGTAAAAGTCTAGAGCAATGTGGGGAGATCACTTGTGCCTGTAGTGTAGACTTATTTCGAAAAATGCACGTGTGTTTGTCTAATATTTAGAAATGGTTATTTTTAAACCAATCTAGGGAAATTATGCTTGATTACATAGAAGGGTTTGTCACATGAAGTGTTTATGTCTTTAATACAATTATTTTCCATTGCGTCAAACTTTCAGAAAACTATTAGACAAGATGGAAAATTAGAAATAAATATTTTACCACATACATATTAAGTATTTCAAATTTCCTAAATAAGTGGAATTCCCATTTAGTACTTTTTTTATGTTTCACACTTATCTCGAAATATCTTACTTATTTGTTTACCCGAAATAAATTTAATTATGTTCATCTAACAGCGGAGAGTGTGTGCACCAGTCGGTTTCTGATTTAAAGATACTTGCTTTGGCTTTTCTGTCTTTTTCCCCAATTTCAGCAGAGACTGGCAGCCGTCGTTTAGCCGCATAAAAATAGTCTTGTAATGTCTCTCAAAATTTGGCAAGAGCTCTCTCCGCACACGTTTTTCCCGTATGATATCCGCCTTGTGCAGCAAGTATTACGACTTTTCACAGAGACCCATAAATATGCATTTGGCTACTATTTTACCTCAATATGTCTAGGCCAGAACTTTTATAAGCTACCTATATATTTAAAAATATTAATAAATGACAATACAGCCAAGAATTTAGCTTTATTTTTGGACTGGGAAATCTGGGTTTAATGTTGTCGTCAACCACTGGATAAGCGAATACATAATAAATCAATAAACAACGATTAAGACTATTGTTAATGTTCTTTACTCTTTGCTATTGCACCTAATTAATTTGACTGAGACTTCCTCTGTAAATCAGTTAATCACAGCGATCTTGCTTTATTTTCTTTATCAAAAATTATTGTTATTTGCAAACAACGGCAGATGTTTTTTAAACAAGCAAACAATAAGATTCACATTTTTCAAGTTCATAAAAGTTTACGAAACAGTATTTTCCTGTAATTGGCACACTTTATTACACAACTATTTGCTAATTATTCATTTTTTCATAATTCCGTATTGCGTAATGACAAAGAGAAGAGATAAACTAGATAGAAGCAGTTTGCTACCCTTAACATCAGATCAATCACCTACCCAGTTCCTCTTGAAATCTTTACGTCACAAAAACATTTTAACCCAAAAATAGATCTCAAACTAAAAAATATCAGCAATATTACTATATACCTTGTACAAAAAGGTAATATGTTAATTCAAAATGAAATATGTACATGTCAGCTACTGAAGGCTTTTATGTTTTATTGGAAAAAAGGTAAGAATCTTTTTTACCCGAAGTCAATTTAACAGCATTTTCGCTTCCAACAATGTTACTTAAACTTAGCAGGTCATATTTTGTGTACAGGATATTGACGGACATTTCTTCACCGAAACCATCCCGTGGGTTTTGATTGGACTCGAGCATCAAATTGATCATTTCAGAATAAAAATGCGGAAAGTTGGGAGGTTGATACATAATCAAATTCCGTATGCCCTTAATTCTGGTGCGCCGGAAGAAGTGTGCTCTTTCCGAGTACAGTAGAACAGATGCTCCGCTGTGGAAGAATATATCTCTCGCCCGGGAAATTTTTTCTTTCTTTGTATACTCATTTATCTGAACAAAACTGACCATTTCGGTTTTGAAATAATTTCGTATCCGTACGTAGTCAAAATAGCTGGGCACGTAGAGCATGCAATGGGAAAACCCGGGCTTTCTGAATTGGGGCATAATATGTTTGACGAAGTATTGAAATCTATCGTCGAATGTTGACTCCACGTTGGAGCAACTGATTCGGCGGAAAACCTGCTGAATTGGTGTCAGCACATTGCGGATATCTCCATTCTCGATCAGATTCGTGATCCGTACTTTCCCCTGGTAATTGTTGCATTTACTATTGAGCACTGCTCGGAATTCTGGGAGCTCATGGGATGAGAAAAACAGGGTTTGGCGGTAGAAACTTGAAGCTCCACTGAGGCACCAAGTTCGAACTCTTTGGCAATTTGTATCTGGCAGCTTCTGCGGCTGCAAATGTAGGTGATCCAGAGAGTGTAAAAGATTTTCCCAATTCTGCGCCAAAAAGAGTTCGGCTTGGTCAATTATAAGCAGTTCAATAGAGTTTAAAAAGTCAAAGTCACTATCCTTGTCTGTAACCAGCATTCTCAGCCCCAAGGGAGACGCGATCAATATGTCTGATGAGTTCATATCGGAAAAAAGTGACATTGTTTTCTTGGTAAAGCGAATACCCAGTTTAAAGTTATCATCTGTGTTGCCACTGAACGTTTGTTCATAGTCCACTGGCTTGGGGTTGGTTTTTGGAAAATATATCGTGTTGCCAGAGTAATCTCCCAGAAAGCGTTCATAGTTGGCAATTGAGGTCTTTCTAGCCTGATCTGTAAAGTATTTGATAAGTTTGATTCTTCAACTGTTTTTAACGGGTTACCTACCTTCTTGGCTGCCGAAAAGTAGGTCTCCGATTATATTGACAATCTTTAGTGCCGACTCCCTGAAAGGCACTATGAAAACTACTTTCATCCGCTTCAGTCCTTGGTCTCTGAAGCTTTCTGGTATAGAGATTTCGTTTGGCGACAATTTCTGGGATTTAGCCAGTGCTGAAACCTTTTCGTTGTTACGCAATATCAGGGACCTGACTTTAAGCATGTGGTTGAGGGCATGCAGACAGTATACATATCGGATATCCTCGGCATTAGCATGTGTTCGGTGGGGGTAATAAATATCCTGATAGTTATTTGCAACGTAGAAGAGTTGCGACTGCAGGGCGGTGAGTGGAAGCTTGGCGTTTCCGCAAATGGACAGTTTTACCTCCAATTTTTGGAGATCTGACGAAGTGGTAATGTCTTTGGGTTCGTTGCAATCAGGCTCTTTGAAGTCTTCAGACATTTGTGGAATCTCAAACTTTACATTCCCCAAAGCAGACCAATTATTCTTGATGCTCTTCACATCTTTTCCCGCAATCAAATCGTTGATATTGTCTGTGGACAGCTCAAAATCGAAGCGTTTTGTAAACGAATTGTATGTTTCCAATTCCGCATTTATCTGCACAGAACGCTTTTCCTTATTGGGTTTTATCTTTTTAGGCACCGGAATAACTGTGTCCTCCGTATTTGAGCTAAGAATCTGACCTGAAAATATGATTTAGTGTTAAAGAAGCATTTTTAACGTTATTATAAAAGTACTTGTGGGAATGTGATTATATCCAGTCACGAGTTGTTCGTAGAATCCAGCCTCATCAACATCGTCCTGAATCTCTGGCAGCAGTTCGGCAACGGGTTCATATTCCTGTTTTGGGACTGCCGGAATTCTCTCCCTGCGATGGGACTCCTCCATTTGCTTGCTCCTCTGGATGAAGCTATAGTTTTTCGAGAACCTTTCATTTCGGCGCACGGGTGTTGTTTTTTTGTAGGGTTTCGCCCTGTTTTTAGAGTGCTTTTGCTTCATTTTAAATTGTTTGTTCGGGAGAAACAGTTGAACACACGTGTGGTAGAAGCAAACATACACACAAACATATGTTATGATTGAGGAATCCGATCGAAAATATCGATAGTTCTTAGAGGTGGAACGTGGTGAAGTTTCAGGCGAAATGCTAATTCAACAAAACTTGAATCATTAACAAAATGGTGCTATTATTATAATACCATTTTGTTAAATTAAGATAGATATTTTAGTATGTCTCTCTATTCAGATTGTCAACAATAAATGTATGAACATTTTTTTGTCCAATTCTCGTAGAAAAACCTGATGTTCTCTTAACTTTAACTGAACAACAAAATGTTGTACCTGGTTTTATTTTGTACCAACAAGTATGTAGACTTTATTTTTCGGATGTTAATATATAAGAGACTTTCTTTTGGTGACTTTTGGGCGAAAATAAAAGATGATTGGTTAATACTAAGGTCTGATTTTGAAATTTCTGGAGGGACATTGAAAAACCCTTCAATTAAGTGTCATTTTAAAATATGCACACTATCATTCTCGCAATGGATCCAATATTTGCAATTGTATCTTGGCTTTCTAAGCTGCTCCATGAAGAATTCCCCTAATGTGCCTTTTTAAACCGAAGTTACTTAGTTTAGTATATTTTTAGAGCCCCACGGTATAAAATGCCGCTCCAATAGCGACCTTATTGCATTGACTTTAGGACATGGGAAGTGATCGCACGTTGAAAAAGCAAAAGATGTCGGTTTTACAAGAACTTAAGAAAATCACCACCATCGTCGCAGATACCGGCGACTTTGAAGGTAAATATACTCTCCATATACAGTTACATATCTTCTCCGGACCGAATTTAATGTAAATCTGCCAAAGCTGGGGATGAATCATCTTGAAGTACAAACGCATATTATGTTTGTAACCCAGAGCTCGAAAACATTCGATTTACTTAAATACAGTCCAAGTTTCTGCATCGCTTGTACATATGTAATGTAACGTAAGTTGAACCAAAAGATACACATAAACCATAGGCCATTTGAGCCATCTCGATAGCAGTTTGTCTTATCTGCTGCAGTGAAGATCAAATAAAAGTGAAAAGTAAAAACCAAGCTGACTTTAGTTTGACCTTAGGTGCTTACGTGTGCTGGAAATGTGACCGCTATAGTATGTCCCAGTGATAAGGTTTTGTTTAAATGCGAAAGCTGCTCAAAAAGGTCGAAGATATTTTCAGTCGGGCGATTGAAAAATGAAAGTCGTTCAACAGGTTTTTTGTGGCTTTATAGAATTTGCAATGTAATTCAGATGCTTGGCCCCGTATTTATGCAAATACCCAGAGAACTAAACTTTATTTTTGATTTCAGCTATTAACATCTACAAGCCCACAGATGCCACGACCAATCCCTCTCTTATTTTGTCCGCTTCCTCCATGGAGCGGTACCAGCCTCTGGTGCAAAAGGCCGTAGCCTACGCCAAAGGCAAAAAGGGGTAAGAAGTCTATGAAAATATCCGAAAAATATAAGTTTAATATAAAAATATTTCCAGCTCCGTGAGTGACCAAGTGGCCGAGGCCATGGATTACCTATGCGTGCTGTTCGGAACGGAAATCTTAAAGGTTGTCCCTGGCCGAGTTTCCACTGAAATCGATGCCCGTCTCTCTTTCGACACCAAGAAGAGTGTGGCGAAGGCCCTGAAGCTGATTGATCTGTACAAATCGCTGGGCATTGGCAAGGAGCGAATCCTGATCAAGCTGGCCTCCACCTGGGAGGGTATCAAGGCTGCTGAGATCCTGGAGAACGAGCACGGCGTGCACTGCAACCTGACGCTCCTCTTTTCGTTCGCCCAAGCCGTGGCCTGCGCCGAGGCCGGAGTGACCCTGATCTCTCCGTTCGTGGGCAGGATCCTGGACTGGTATGTGGCCAACACGGAGACCAAGAAGTTCGAGGCCCTGAAGGATCCGGGTGTAATCTCAGTGACCAACATCTACAACTACTACAAGAAGTTCGGCTACAAAACCCTGGTAATGGGCGCCTCCTTCCGCAATGTGGGCGAGATCAAGGCCCTGGCTGGCTGCGACTTGCTCACCATCAGTCCCTCGCTGCTCAAGGAGCTCGAGAATGAGACCGAGTCGGTGATCACCTACTTGTCCGAGAGCAACGCCAAGCTGCAGGACATCGAGAAGATCACTGTGGACGAGAGCAAGTTCCGCTGGCTGCTCAACGAGGACGCCATGGCCACCGACAAACTGTCCGAGGGAATTAGAAAGTTTGCCGTGGATACTGTTAAGCTGGAGAGTTTGATTAAGACCTATCTTAAGTAGATGTTGGTTCCGGTTGTTGGTGGAGGATGAAAACAACAATTGTTTAAAAACAAATAATTTTATACTTTAATAAAAATGAAAAGAAAGATACTTTTAACTAATGTACGAAAACCATTTGGGCACTTTATCATACATTTTGCCCATTCAGACGATTATTTTTACAGAACTATTTCGATTGGCCCTTATCAATACATTTTCTAATCGTTCTTAAAGGTTTGTTACAAACCTGTGTAAAAATATATGTAAGAATCTGTAAAAAAGACTTAAAATGTAAAATATCGCATTCGTTTTTCGAATCGGAATAATTCTACACCAATTAAGACAAAGTAATTGTAAAAACTTTGCAAGTTTTTTAAAAAAGATACAAATTGTAGGACTGTTCTCGGCTACCGTTCAATAATATCTCTAAAAGTATCTCTACATTGCGCTCTCACTATCCGATAGTCAGGCAAAATATCGATAAAAGTATCTACTTTGTTGCATCCCTAGGTTGATACATAAAATAAAAAATATATAAAAAGTGAGTTAGTACTGGTATTAAAAGTAATTTTTAAGTAACAAATTGATGTATTGCAACCACGCACATATAAAGAATTTTGGGCGGTTGAAAAAAAGTGGCTGAAGCGTCAAGTGCGATAGAACTAGCCTTTTTCAACACCCGAAAGTCGCTCCCCAACAGAATCGTGCACCTATAGTTTTAGCCCGAAGTTGCTCCCATGAATAAAAATGTTCGGTAATTTCACGGTAAACAATAACCATTGTCAAACATAGGGAAATAAGTCGCGTACATGTACGTAATTAGATTCGCGCAAAGATGTGATTCGCGGACCTATATCTATTCGATCCGATTCGATTTGATTCGATTCGAGTCCGACTTCCTGACGTCCTACGTCCTGCGTCCTTAAACCTGAAATCAGTGAAAAATCGTTCGCGCATGAATATTCAAAATACTATCCTATCCGATTCGATTCACGATGGTTATACCATATAATATAGTTTCCCAAAGTGTCAAAGAAATGGCAAATATTCGGAGGCACGGAGCACATACGTATTGATATATGTACATACATTTATTTATGTACATCCATTCACACATGCGAACCGAGAACTTGTGTATATATCTAAATACATACGTACGTATATACGAGTAGATACACAACGGTGTGTACACATATCTGTGAGATATATATGTGCCCGTGCCCGCTTAGATCCCGATGAATTTATGTACATATATTTACATTAAAATCTGCATATCTACGGCTATATGTCCGTTAGATATATACATATCTTCCTTCGACTTTTGTCGGTCTGTCGTCCGTCCGTGGGCAATAATTAATAGATTAAATACGTTTTTTGTGTGCATATAATAAATTCATATTTGAGCAAAAGTTTAATCAAATTCTCGCCCAATATATGTAAATTTTCGCAAACTGTGTACTGGCGGGTACACACAGCCATCTGAGTTTTAACTGCAGATGGAATTATGTTGGTATCTCTATATACATGCGTACCTGCACCTTAGTATGCGCGAAAATTCCACCCGCCCTCTTCTTCACCTGTTACACTACGCCGATGTGGATGTGAATATGAATGTCATGATGATGATGATGATGAATTCCAATCGCCCGACGAGAATGTACGGGCGTTTGCGTGGAGTAATTTTTGATTTTTATTTTGATTTGGATTGCACTCGTTAATAAAGCCAGCATTATTTTCGGACTCCAAATATAAGTGACTCATTGGGCAGCCGTGGGCGGCAATGTCAGAAATGTCGCCTTGGCTTAGGCGCCTATTATGGGCGATATTGGTGATATAGGTGATATAGGGGCACTGATGTAGGTTCATAAATCCCTTGGAATACACACCTGCCACCTGCCGTTGATATTTACGATTTTATGTAAACAAAAGGCGTCAGTTCATAAAAGTGCCCAAATTAATAATTCTTGAATTTTATCAAGAGATCTCATTAATTTAAGATTGAATATTGTGTAATTCTTAATAACAGTTCGGTATATAGTTCGCTTAACCATTGAAAATTTTACCCATCCTACGGGGTTCCAAAGACCTTTTTTAAAATGAATAAGCATTGGTCCTTAAACATGATATGATTTTCAAAACAAGTCTAATATGAATAGTACTTTTTTAATCCTGGTTTATATTACCTAAAAATGTATACAAATATATCCGTTTTTAAAAGTATATTTTCACTTTTCCCATTTAAATAAATGCTTGCAATGTTTCAAGATAAGAAATACCCAGTTTTTGGAACCCATAATAAATAAAACTCATTTTTAATCTTAAAGTATGGGAAACCACTATTTATTCATGCGATTTGAATACTAACTAAAGAGAGATACACCGATTAACCTACTTAACTTCTTTTACTTTGCCAATCCAGCTTGCTACAGAGATCTACTGAATCGCTGAGCCAACGGTGGTGTCACTGAGATCGGAGACCTGAAGTGTACATAAGGACATTGTGTATAGATCCGAGGAACTCAGCTATACTGGAGCAGAACGGAGAAAGCACAAGGGGTGCCGAGTCACCCGACGCGAACCAGGAAAACCGAGCGACGTGTTGGTGGACCCCGTGGGCTGCGATGGGTTGCTTTGGGTCCCCCACCTCAAAGCAGTCGGATGTGAACTCGGAGGACTCGAAAAGCCAGAAGCGCCGGAGCGATGCAATATCTAGACAGTTGCAGAAGGACAAACAGCTCTACAGGGCCACACACAGGCTGCTCCTCCTGGGGGCGGGCGAGTCCGGCAAATCCACTATAGTCAAGCAAATGCGAATATTGCATGTCGACGGATTTTCTGAAACAGAGAAGAAACAGAAAATTGATGATATTAAAAAGAATATTCGAGACGCTATCTTGGTGAGTTGGATCAATAAAGATTACTTTAAGTTCATAGCTAGTGAAAAACTGTATGCTAAGCAAGTAATTTATTTTCTTTTACAGACTATTACAGGAGCCATGAGCACACTTAATCCACCTGTAGCTTTAGAAAAGAAAGAAAATGAACCCAGAGTGGAATACATTCAGGATTATGCATCTAGTAAGACAATTTATCTACTCAACTCAAGTTGTTTTTAACCTTAACTTTTGTCTTTTCCCACAGGTCCGGATTTTAATTATCCTCCTGAATTTTATGAACATACAGAAGAACTATGGAAAGACAAAGGCGTTCTTCAAACCTATGAGAGGTCGAATGAGTATCAATTAATTGATTGTGCGAAATAGTAAGTATTGTCTTTACTTTATAAAGTAACAATCGATGTGGTTAGCCAACAAATTTATTTTTGTAGTAATGTCCGAATACAAATTAATTTATTTATTAATCCCAAAAGTGAATGTCATCTATTTTAAAAGCTTAACTGTGTGTTTTTCTTGGAAGTGCACCAGTTACTGATGGTTAAGAATATTCGTTGGATTGAAAGTATGCATCTTTTAAATTTCAAAAAGTCAATTGCTTTGTAGAAGTGCGTCAAAAATACCTCTAAGACAAGGCTAATTCGTAATCGTGGTATTTCAAGTCCTTTACTCTTAAGCTTGTATAACTGTAATAAATTAGAGAGTAACATCAGTAGATTCCTTTAGTTATTTTAAATATATGATAGAAACAAACCCGTACTTATAAATACCATTTATTTCACATTAAAGCTTCCTGGACCGAGTAAGCACAATCAAGAATCCAAACTATACCCCTAATGAGCAGGATATTCTTCGGTGCCGTGTTTTGACTTCTGGAATTTTTGAAACAAGATTTCAAGTGGACAAAGTAAATTTTCAGTAAGTACATCGAGTGCGGCAGTACTTAACAAATCGAAAATAACCTTTTTAAATGTACGTGTGCAGCATGTTTGATGTCGGAGGACAGCGAGACGAGCGTAGAAAATGGATTCAATGTTTCAATGATGTAACTGCTATTATATTCGTAACTGCGTGCTCAAGTTATAACATGGTTTTGCGTGAAGATCCCACCCAAAATCGACTTCGAGAATCTTTGGATTTGTTCAAGAGTATTTGGAACAACAGGTGAATTTAAAGCTCGCACACTTTTAAGATCAGTAAACTAACATGGGCTTTTCTTTATAGATGGCTTCGCACGATTTCTATTATACTATTTTTAAATAAGCAAGATTTGTTAGCAGAGAAAATTAAGGCTGGAAAAAGTAAATTGTCGGAATATTTCTCCGAGTTTAACAAATACCAAACGCCAAGTAAGTAAAATAGCAGAATCCAAAAATCCATCCTCTTTAAAACCCAAAGCGAAGGCTTTCCTTTTGAATAATTTTGGCAAGACTAAAAAACAGGGAAGGATACATCATGACGACCATCAAAACCAGGATTAATTGGACAATTGATCACTTAATAATAACCAACTGACAATGACAACAAATTGTTTATCACTTGAATGATGCACAATGGAAAAAAATACTCCAACTTGACTTACAAATTCTGTTCAAAATTGAAACTCATACCTTATTTAACTTAAGAAATTTAATGGATAATATGTTTTTGTCTAATTTCAAATGTGCTGTCGACACAGGTGACGCAATAATGGAATCCAATGACGACCCAGAAGTAATACGAGCAAAATATTTCATACGAGACGAGTTTCTGGTAGGTTATGTCCGCGCTCCTTAAACAAATGCAATGCTCATTGAGATTCTCTATTTAATTAGCGTATATCTACCGCTAGCGGAGACGGTAAACACTACTGCTATCCACATTTCACATGCGCCGTTGACACAGAAAACATTAAACGTGTGTTTAATGATTGCAGAGACATTATTCAAAGGATGCACCTTCGTCAATATGAATTGTTATAGGTTATCCCCATCGCCGTAATGCAAGTAAATAAAAATATTAATGACTTACTGTTTTAAATATAATTATCAAATGTAATTTGTATTTAAATAGTCCCTTGATTAAAAAAAAATTCGCTGCATTTAGATCTGGTATGACCTTTCACAAAACTCAACATTAAAGAATAATAAATAAACATGTTAATAACAGAGACGATCGTTTTATTCATAGTAGACTAAAAATGAGGATGCACGTTGTTTATTTTCTATAATCCCTTCACATGAAGCATTTTAAGAGTATATTCGCGATTCGATCGGTATCGGTATTCGTGTCCGTGAGCATTTACAATGGTTTGAACGGGTATAACTAAACGAGTTGGTTGAGAATGCTGAAACTGGCGGAGGCCTTGTCGATTTCATCAAAGTTTCGTTTGAGCTTACTGCTCCAGGTGTCCTTGTACATCGGGTCCATCCTCACCAGGTACGGCAGCAAGTCCCTGTGGTGGCTTGTCCCCATTTTTCCAGGTATTAACCGATCTCCACAGGGTTTCACGGTGTACTTTGTCTTAAAATCGGACTGGCTGCACTCATAGCAAACGACCGTTTGTCCATTTGCAGCGGAAATCAATCTGCAGGATAAAGATACATTTGTTTAAGGATTATTTTCAGTGAGTAACAATGCCTCTAGTGTGTAAATAGGGACTTTAACATTTAGGATAGAAGGTGTTATCTGTTATCTGCATATTTACATACTGTTTCGATAACATTCGGATAAGACCTGATAACAGCATTTTAATCTTAAACAATTGATAAGTATGCGAGACAATGGGTTTTCACATGCATCTGCTATTTGCTAGTGTATCTGTGATGATGTTTAGTTCGTAGTTTATGGTTATCCTTAAAATACACACTTCTTGCAACACTCACCTAACTATAAATGGTCCATCGTACTTCTTTGAGCCGGCTTTTTGAGGAGAATGCATGAATAATTTAAATTTTAAGTAAAAATGTTAGTCAAATTTGTTACAAATCTCTGCCTTTGACAAGTTCATTAAGATAGGGCGTGCTAAATACAAAGGTGAAAATAAAACTCTCATATTAATGCAATAATTTATTAACAAATAGAAGCTACATCATTTTATATGTACATATAAAATAAATCCCATGCTTTTTATTTACATTTCAGTTTCATTACAGGTCTTCGGTACTCGATATGGTCAAAGTCAATGATGTGGTTTATATCTCTAGGATTTCTTAGTCGCTTAATAGTCGTCTACTTTCAGTCCTCTTTATCAAATGACCTCCACCAATGCTGTCTAAGCCACGTTTAGAAACTGATCGCGATAACCTATCCTGAAAGGCTTCGATATTTTTGTTTTTAGCAGGAGGATTCACATTTCGCAAATAAAGTTTGTACAACTCGTTGAATAATTGCGATGTGGTTATATCGTCGCTTAAAAATCCTGGTGTTCTTAAATTTTCGCTGTTGCCGTTAAAAAATTGTTTTAACGCTGAAAGATCTGTTAAAATAAATAATAAAATAATAGGAAATGAAGAATTAAATTGCTTATATACAAGCTAAACCATTTAAAATAATACTGTATATACTGTCTTTAAAGATTGAAAGTCCGTTATCAATGTTACCGGAACTTCCAAATCTTTAAAGGAATTCAGTCGTTTTCTAAACTTTGCTTTCCAAAGTTTTTTTAGATTTACACATAAGCTTCCACGATTTATCTCTTAAATCGTTACCTTCACATAGATATTTTCCATCCATCAATTCGTCGTTAGAAATATCCTACAATTAAAAGGGTATAATATTTATGCGAAAATTGAATTTCTTGCACTAAAATATGTTTTTCCAAAAGATATTTTCATAAACACTTGAATAACTTATACATACCACGCTCGGCGCTGCTTGAATAAAGTTTAAGAACACAGATACCACCACCAGAACAATAAAAAGATTCATATTTTTAATTGTTGACCTGGACTGGTGCTCTTGAAAAACAATACTCGTCGGAGTTTTGAAGAAGACTGTGCGCTTTATTCCGTCGTGGCTCGTTTTATACCCGATTTGGTCCTTACTTAAACAGGGTGATGGTAAATTTATGATGCAGATAACTAACGACAGCTAAAAGAGCCGCAGGAACGCACCCGTTATTAACAGCTTAGTGCTGTTTGGTTGGTTAGTGCGGTTTCCTTTATGCTCTTAATGCGTCACTTGCACCATATTTCTGGCAACTAATGGTAAATACTACAACAAACAGTGCGGAGTGTTGTCAAGATTTAAGCAAACATACGTGCACTCAAACATATGTTCAATTATTAGATTTAATTTTCATTTATATAAGAGTTGGTCCGCACTTCTGTGTCCTTTGCATTGCTTACTTCTCGGTTAATTGAGTTAACCACGAATTTAATTAAACCTTTTAAGTTTTCTTAACGGTTCTGGATATATAAAAAGTGAGTAATATATGGTTAAGGCCATATGCCTTAAGACTATATCGAATTTATGCATTATGATAACAACTAGAACAAAACCTTAACCAACTTAAACCTTTTTAAAGACTGTTTCCAAATAATGTTTTTTGTCAATGCAAAAAACATTATTTTAAACAGTCTTTAAAAATGTTTCAGGTTAAGCAGAGATTCGTTTTATTTACAGTTTTCATTCAATCATAATATTTTCATATATTAAAAAAGCAGTATTATTTCGATTTGTGGGTCCTTTGGTTTTTATACTTTCACCATTATTGCATAAGCATTTATTTTTTTACATTATAAGAATTTCAAAAATAAAACGCCCGTAAAAAGGTTTAACGTTAACAAAAAACATAGAACTTAAAATTTTGAACAGAATTTCTAAAACAATAGGGAAAAAACAAAATCTTAATGAATATGTTTGCTCTCTACTTTCTGTCACTCCAAGATATATTTCCTTATTTGCGTTAAAATATGCAATCAAAATTTTTTTTCCGTTTATAAAAGCTTTTTTAAATTCATTTTTCGCACGATTCAAATAGTGTTCTAAAATTCCCTCCTTGAAATACCCCTAACAAAAATCAATCGATTCTTTTGTGATATGAATCACCCTGTTTCCGGAGTTATCATAATGTTTTCTTCTTAGTATTTTTTGACTCTATTCCTCCTAAAATCGGCACATATATTGCGAAATGTCAAGATTTCTTTTGAACAAAAGATTTGTTCCCAGTTTGCTCCAGGTTTGGTCCAATTGATTCTAATAATATATGGTTCGATAACGCTCCGTACTAACACGTATTTGCAGCAAGATTTCTTGCTCGCCGGCTCATGGATTCCGTCCCAATCTCGGAGGGGAAAGGCCTCGACACCCATAAACATGTGTGTTATGTTTGTGCCCCAGCAAGAGGTAGGTTTTGTTGCCTGATCTTTCGAGTCCACAATACTATAATCCGTAACTTTTTTTCCAAGGCCTGGGTGGTCGAGCGCATGGGTCGGTTTCATAGGATTCTGGACCCCGGCCTGAATATTCTGGTTCCCGTGGCGGACAAAATCAAATACGTGCAGAGCCTGAAGGAAATAGCCATAGATGTCCCAAAGCAAAGTGCTATTACCTCCGATAACGTTACCTTAAGTATCGACGGTGTGCTCTACTTGCGAATCATCGATCCTTATAAAGGTAGGTCATAAATCCATTCGCTTCTGCGTGAATTCACCATCTGTTATATCACCATTAAGCCTCATACGGCGTGGAGGATCCGGAGTTTGCCATAACACAGCTGGCCCAGACGACGATGAGATCGGAGCTGGGCAAGATGTCCATGGACAAGGTCTTTCGCGAAAGGGAGTCTCTGAACGTCAGCATAGTGGACTCGATCAACAAGGCCAGCGAGGCGTGGGGCATCGCCTGTTTGCGTTACGAGATCCGTGATATTCGAGTAAGTTATGATTTGTAAAGATTATACATTAGTAATCGCTTGAAATAATTCCTAATTCAGCTGCCTACTAGGGTGCACGAGGCGATGCAGATGCAAGTCGAGGCTGAGCGGCGGAAAAGAGCGGCAATCCTTGAATCTGAGGGTGTTCGCGAGGCAGAAATCAATATAGCCGAGGGCAAGCGGAAGTCCAGGATCCTAGCCTCCGGTTAGCTTTAAAGGAGTTACTCAAAGATCTAGCTAATACTCAAGATTTCTTCTTCGACAGAGGCCGAGCGGCAGGAGCACATTAACAAGGCCAGTGGAGAGGCAGCTGCCATCATAGCTGTGGCGGATGCCAGGGCCCGCAGTTTGCTGGCCATCGCCAAGTCCCTGTCCCATCTGGTGAGTATTTCCCTAGGAAACTACTAACTCTTTAGTTCCGAGCAGATAGCATGCTAGGCGTTTACTCTTAAATCCTTTGCGATCGCTGGACACCTTGACAAGGCTCACACAACCATCACAGCTCGCACAAATATACAAATTTTGAAATGTTTCAACCGGAGTACGAACAACGTTTGCTTCATGGACTAGTGGACGGAAACAAGGAGCAGTTGGATCTGCGCTGCATTCCTAGACGGGCTGGCAATCAGTGGGCCCGAAACTATGCCCTCGCTCCCGGAAACTCCAGCGAGAACTCTGCATATGCGTGTTTGTTGCGCAACGAGTTCCTGGATACCAAAATCACCTCTCTGGATCAGTGTAAACAAGGTACGAAGGTCCATGCCCAGACGGGCGACTTCAAGGTGCGAGAGAAGACCCGGATCTATGGGTTTGGCAATGGGAGTTTGCCCCCGTTGCGTACACCATTCGCCAACATCAGTGAGTCCAGCCAGCGGCTGCTTAACATCTCCAAGAAACCAACGCGGCGGCTTCCACGACTCCCTTACAAGATTCTTGATGCACCAGAGCTGCAGGATGACTTCTACCTAAACCTCATCGACTGGTCTTCTGAGAACACTTTGGCCGTGGGCCTGGGCTGTTCGGTTTATCTATGGAGCGCACTCAGCGGTCAGGTAACACGGCTTTGTGACTTCAGCCAGGAGGACAACCTGGTCACAGCGGTTAGTTGGCAAGGTGGCGGACGTCAGGTTGCCATTGGAACCCTGTCCGGCTATGTGAGCATCTGGGATGCGGAGAAGCAGAAGCAACTCAATCGGCTTGACGGGCATTTTGGACGGGTAACTGCGTTGGCATGGCGCGGCAACAGTTTGGCCAGTGGATCCCGCGATCGCTCCATTCTGCAGCGAGATGTCAGAAATCCGCCGACGCACATAACCCGCTGCTTGCGCGGACACAGACACGAGGTGTGTGGCCTCCAGTGGTCGCCCAACAATCGCTACTTAGCCAGCGGGGGAAACGACAACCGCCTGCTGGTGTGGGCGGAAAACTACCCGGATCCCATCTACGCCTTCGAAGAGCACAAGGCGGTGGTGAAAGCGCTGGCCTGGTCGCCACACAAGTCCGGTCTTCTAGCCAGTGGGGGCGGGTCTGCTGATCGGTGTCTGCGCTTCTGGAACGTGCTTACCGGCAAGCTGGTGCAATGCATCGATACGGGCGCCCAGATCAGCAACCTGGCCTGGGCACGGGGCTCCTCGGAGTTAGTTACCACTCACGGACAGGCGCAGCCACAGGTCATCGTGTGGCGTTATCCCTCGCTGAAGCAAGTGGTCAGGCTTTCCGGCCACACCCACCGGGTTCTTTATTTAGCCGTGAGCCCAGACAGCGAGTCTATAGTCACCGGAGGAGCAGACGAGACGCTCCGTTTCTGGACCGTGTTCACCAAGCAAAAACCGCCAAAAGTGCCAAACTCCGTGCTCAGCCTGTATCAATCTATAAGATGAGAACGAAATTGCGACGTACCCCTTAGTTAATCGGGGGAATTATATTTTTTACAAACCACAGATTTGTTTAATAGCACTTAATTCATTTTATTTATCGATTATCTGCAATGTTATATTTTTCAGGATGGGCAAAATGCTGCCTCCCTCACACTGGCCGAGCAATACATTGGAGCCTTTAAGAAACTGGCCAAGACGAATAACACCATGATCTTGCCCTCGAATCCTGGGGATGTAAATGGCTTCGTGGCCCAGGCCCTGGCGGTTTACAATCACGTTTCCCACTCAAACCAGGTTAACAAGTCTTCTGAAAGCGTTAAGGGTGTGGGCGCCTGTTTAAACGCCAAGAATGTTGAATACAAAGAATTGCAGGAGGATAAAAACAGTGTGAAAATGAATATTGAATAGGAATGAATAAAAGGTTGTTGCTATTACATTTGCACCACTCATCGTTACGTTATTACCAAGGCGAGGCATTAAGATTGTAACAAGCGGTGTTTAAAAGGAGGACGGAGCATTTAATTAAATAAATAAGCATTTAGTTTCAACAAACGATTATATATTTTGCCCTTTATTTTGGCAGATACTTCAAAAGTCGAACTTCATGTGATAACCATAAAGCGAAACTCAGGAGAATCAGAGATCCGGATTGATGGGCAGTCGCCAAAGGCACGGGTACGTAGGTCAGCAAGGTGGTTACACCAAGAGCGGCCTGTGTCCAGGCCATGGCCACCACGGCGTTGATTGCATAATTCGCGCGCTTGGGCAGCTGCATTCTTCTGGTCACCAGCCACAAAGCTGTAGTCAGGGTCACTGTGCTGATGCCCAGGATACGGTGATTGAACTGCACCGTCGTCGGATTCTCGGTTATATTCTTCTGTATCGGCTTAAACTGCCACATGTCGTCGGGGATCCAATTGTCCCCCATTTTCGGGAACGAATTATACACCAATCCAGCGTCCAGTCCGGCCACAAAAGCTCCAGAAATGGCTGTCAGCAGAACCATTGCCTTTGTGAGATGGGACAGCCCTTTAATATTAAATGCATTCTTGGCCTGGATCACAAATGTGTTGGTGGGGATTAGCATGGACAAGCCCCTCGACAGGGCGAGTGAGTACAGGATGAAGGCAGCCGCCAGATGGGAGGCCAATCTGTATTGGGAGACTCGGGGCACGTCATTCGGATCCTGGAATCGGTCCTCCAGGCCGGATTTAACCATGTACCATCCCATCAGACCCTGCAGGCCGATAAGGGTGCCCAGCAGCAAGACGCTCTTCTTGGTCTTCGCACAGAAGTAACCCTTTCGCCAGAAGTAAATGGCTGGGAGGAGGAAAAATCCGCCGATGGCGCGACCCCACATCCTGTGCATGTACTCCATCATGAAAATGAATTTAAACTCTTCGACCGTCATGTTTACATTTTTCCTAAGGAGATAAATCTGTTTTAGTAACTGCACTGGATTAAGAGAAGTACCCACAGCTTGTACTCCGGATATTGCTGATAGAGACTGAACTCCTGCTCCCATTCCTCCTGGGTCCTGGGCATCCGTTCACCCGTGAGCTTCCACGTTACCATGGAGAGTCCGGACTCTGTTAATCTGGTTACCCCGCCTGAAAAGGGGTGATGTTTATTTAAGAACTATTTTTATTCAAAAGTAAGTACATAGCTACCTAAACCAACTGCCACAAAAACCATGCCGCTGACTCCCAGAAACCATCTTCCCACGGTTTTGTCGCTCCTTGAAATACTTATGGGCTTTACCGCAGGGATTTCCTGAAATACATTTATGGGAATTGAAAGAAATTCTTTAATTTGTAAGAGCTTATTGTTAATATGTTTATCATGATGATAATCACCTTTATCGCTGTTTGCGCAATAGTTTGATGAAGCCGGGGACCGGGCACCAGCAACTTTATGAGACTAGTTCTTTTCTGCATTATTCGCAACATTGTGTTAATTATATTTCTAGTCTAACTTTAGCTTGAAACAAATATTTAAAGAGTTATTTGGATTTATTTTATTATATTTACAACGCCGGTTGCAAGTGTAACAGCATCTGGTGGTCAAAGAAAAATATACTAACACTATTTTACAAAATACCGTAACTATACCAGTATACTAACTTTCGTGCAATCTGGGCACTTTTTTTATTCTTAACATTTGTTTGCGGCTTCAGATAAACAATTTGCCGAATAAAATGGAAATAATATTAAATACACAGTTCGAGCAGCTGCAAAAGGCCATCGAGGGGATAATGGAGGCGAAGAGCAAGGTAATATGTGTATTTAAACGTTGTAATGCACGTATTTCACAGTGTACCATTTGCAGGGGCAGTCATCCGACGAGGCACGCACAGCGGCCACTTTGATGTTTGTGGCTCTGAAACACGCCAATCGCGAAGTAAAGCACAAGATCAAGGCTGGACGGGATAAACTGCATCTGGAGAAGTGCAAGGTGGACCTCAGCCGGCTGCAACTGCAAAATCTTTTGTATGAAGTGAGTCATTTGAAGAAGGAGATCGTGCGCTGCCAGAAGTTCAAGAGTCGGGATACCAATCTGGAGCTTCTCTCGGAAGCTGAGTACGCCGGCAAGTTGCCGAGTATTCCCAATGAGAAGGAGGACTTGTCTAGCCACAAGCAGCACCTGCATCGCCTGGACTGCGAGCTGCGTCTGCGGAAGGATCTCGACAAGCAGTATAGCGCCCTGCTGACTTCCAAGCAGGAACTTCTGCAGGACAATCTCAGCCACGCCCAGAGGTACATCTCCTTCGCACCTGCCCTGCGCACCCTGCTTGGCGCAACGAAGCCACTGCACGATGCACTTCAGCTGTCCCTCGACGTGGAGTGGAAATTGAGCGCCGTGGTCAAGTATCTGCCGAAGCCCCTATACATACTGTTCATAAACCTGCAATCCCTGCAACGGGCGTGCGATGATCTGTCCTTCACCGCCGAGGTGGTTGGCTACGAAAGTGAGGCCCAAATGCAGGAGTTGCTGAAGGAGAAGCAGTATACCACATTGCACCCTAAGCAAAATGAAAAGGAAACCGCACCGCGAGAAAAGCCTTTAGAGAACAGCTTGGAGGACGCACTGGCTCCTCACCCATTGCACATTCGCATGACGGTAAGCATATACTCACATACATATATCCGTATATTTACAATCCGCAACAATCTTTATAGATTGGAGCCGTTGGATCGAATCAGCTTATTTTGCAGATTCGTTATTTCGAATTAATTAAATGTGCTACTGTCTGGGGTCAACTAATCCCGTCCAGCAACGCCAATAGTCTGGGGTAAGTCTTAATGAAATCATTATGAAGTATCTGAACTACAACTTGTCTTTACGCAGTGATACTCACTTTCTTCATTACCTCCTGCGACATTTGTACACCAATGACTTGGGCAATGAAATACCCATTCCTGGAATTGAATATGAAGTAAGACTTAAGCTAATCTTGTTTATACAACAAACTTAAATCAGTATATTTTAGCTCCGAAACTCTGATTTGACAGCTGACGAATGCATCCGCTATCTGAAGGCCAAAGACTTTGGAAAACCTTTCTGTTGGCTGCAAAGCATGTGCTCCATTCCAACCGTCAACAGTTCCTTGCTGTACAATCATGAACTGAACTTGAACAAGAACACCCGGGAGATTATTGTCCGCATTGCCAGACGCTGGAACTCTTGGCTGCGATTGAGCCAGCAAATTCGTGGGTTGACGTACAAGGACATTGATTTGTACACTCTCAAGGAAAATATCTACCCTGCCGGCCTGTCGTGCAGCCTTGTTCAATGGACTGCCATTACGCACGAAGAGTTTCATTCGCAGTTCTCAGACGTTTTAAATGTTTCGTCTGAAGACAAGGGCATTACTTATAACTCTTACCGCGCTGTTATCGTCAGGGGCTCCGCTAAAATGGAGTGTTTCATCAGAATCCCGAGTAATTACCCATTGGAAATGCCTCTTTGGATTTTAAATGTGCACTGGAACGGCTGCCATACCTCACAAAACAATTCGGCCATCAAGGTGAATAGTTACACGTCTCTTTTTAATAAATAAGTTACTAAAAGTGTATTCTTTAGATGATGGAGTTCTGGACCAACTCACTGCAGCCCAAACAGCTGGAGGCAGGCGAACGGCTTCTGTATGCCCAACTTTTCCGCACCATCTACAGCTTTGATATATTCCTTGAAACGGAGGGCTCCATACAAAGCACCGTCGAGTACAACAAAGAAAAGCCTTACATAAGTGCTTTTGCCAAGCGGAGCCGTTCGCGTCCGTATAAATACATAAAAAAGGGATCGGTGTACGCGTTTAAGCAGTGACGGTTTGAAATGAAATATTGTACAAAGCTTCAATGCAGTTACTAAACATTTTCACAGTTTCTGTTTATTACGTTTAGTAATACAATAAATAAGTAACATTTAAAGCTAGCTATGACTTCATTGGCAGTTTATCTTCTGGGAAGTGGTCGCCGCCAAAGATCCCGGCGGCAACGCCGACGCAGAAGTGTTCTCAACAGCCTCCCGACTCTCGTCCGGCATAACTTTGTCGACAATGTGTTTCGCGATCAGCCCGTCGTCGCCCAGATAGCAGACGGAATACCCATCGTACCAGGCCTCCTGGTCCTTCAGGACTTCCTTGAGCTGCCAGATTTTGTACTTCCAGAACTGGAACATGACCTTCAGACCGGAAATGCCCCGAACTCGCCACCTAATCCTCACCGTGTAGTCGTCCTGGTGCTTAGTGATCTTGAGGACCTCGAACTTAACGTAGGCGTACTTTAGGTGACCCACCGTCCGCAGGATGGCAATCTGTTTGACGTAGTGATACAGGCCTACCGTGTGCTTTCCGGTGATATTATTGTGGAAGATGAGACCCGGGCTGTATATGGAATAATCAAGGGGCTCCACGAACAACTTGGGCAGGGTGGTTCTCAGGACCTCGTAGGCTCTATCCAAGTCCTCGGGTTTCCTCGCATTTTCTTTGGTGTTTCCTGGATCCCTTTCCGCATTGGTGCTCTCGTGGAGACTCCGACTTTGCTGGAAGCTATCGGATGTATGGCAATTTAGCAGTTTTTGGTGGCATGCTGCAGGTCCGGGTGCATTCAGACGCATGGCGGACGCCCACGCCCGTTCCTTGGAGCACCAGTGGGCCATCCAGCTGCTCCTTCTTATTGATAACATCCCGAAATTTCGCATCATCTTTGCAAGGACTTTGTGTTATACTTCCTTCACCGGTACTTGATTTCCCTCGAAACAAATCTACGTCGGTTGTATGTTAAACCATTCAATTATTACGCTGGTCCAGGCTATAAGGCTATTTTTCGTTTGCGGCCTGCAGGAATTTGACGTGCTCGTGTTTAGGTAACAACATTTGGAAATAAAATACGGCAAAAATCATATGGTCGTAGTGCTGTGTAACTTCTTATTAATTTTGGAGGGCGAAGTTCCTAAGCTTTATGTTAGGGGTATTCCCATTTTATAGGGTAATTAGTGTAAAATGTATTATTATTATTATTTATAATATTCAAGACTGCTATTTGCAAATATATAGTTTTTATAAATTTCCTCTTTATGCAATATTTTTTAGCAACTGACAACTTTATACGATGTCTATCGATGTGTAAACTAAGTATTGCTGTTTCAAAAAACTGCCACAGTCGAATGACCGTTATTTTTGGATTACGCGGAAACTGTTTGGTTATTGGAAAGTAACACATCAAATCGAGAATTTGTGAGCCAAACCAAAGGATTCCAAGCAATTAAGATAAAATTACTTGGCGGAACCTCAAAAAATATCGAGTCCTGGGACCCAAATCGATTTTCGACCCCTTTGTAACGGGAAACTGTTGCATTGCACAGTACTACATGGTTTTTATGCGCAGACATCCTGCGCAGACCAATTTGTTACAAGCTCGAATCACACACAAATCTGGAGGCATACACATATATTTGTCTACAAGTAAACACGTTGTTTACAGACACTTTAGCTATATAACACTAATTTAAGCTAAGGAGCTTTCTTTGGCTGAAAAATCGACTTTTATTTGAGCTTAAACCTATAAACCCTCGTACTATGACGCATTAATCAGTGACGGTATTATTGAGTGCCAAATACTTGATTTAGTTTCAATGTCTATTCAACTCTGCTAACCTTAGTATTGAGAAAAATCAATAGAAAGTAAATAAAAATGTTACATGCCTAAAAACGCTTTGTGGATATTTAAGAAACTATAATCAATTTTTTTATTGAGAGTTGACGTATCCAAAATGTACGGAATCACTCAATCAACTGTAAACGTAAGTTTTTGACCGGCTATAGAATGACTTGCGATTTCAATCGAATTTACTGCGGAACCAACTGTGGTTGCCTCGCCTTTATTCATCTGAAATTATTGATTGGCCGTGAAACTTGATCAATATTGCCTCCCTTTCAGAATCAACGCTTTCGAGTTCGTGATATGGATAACGAGCAAATCATGTCCACTTTTGGGAACATAGGACACCTACTAAACATCGCTGTGGAACGATTTATAACGATTGGAGAGATAATAGCCGAGGAAAATATTGACATCAAGGGAGATATGTACGAGGCTGCCAAGGAAGCTAGAGATGCAGGTGGGGATATATTACCTTATGAACTAATTTAAACTGAATTACTTTATGCAAATTTAATATTCTATAGGAAAATCAATTGAGCGACTATGTGATGTATCGCCTTTAGGTGGCATGGAGCTTCGACACCACATTGAGCCTCTAAAAGACTATGGCGCCATTATCCTGGCGGCCAGGTCCCTACTATCCTCTGTTACGCGAATCCTACTGCTAGTGGACATTATTGTTGTGAAAAAACTCTTGACCGCCAAGAAGCGAGCCTCCGAGAGCCTTGAAAAACTGGAATCTGTTATGAACTTTACCGAATTCGTGCGGGCTTTCTCTGTCTTCGGCACGGAGATGATCGAATTGGCCTACCTCACTGGTCACCATCGGAATTCCTTCAAGGAGGAGCGGCGGCGGGCCCAGATGTTTTCGGCTCGTCAGATCCTGGAGAAGTCCATTGCTATTTTGCTAACGTCCTCGAAGAACAGCCTCATCCACAGCGACTGTGTGATTGTGAAGGAGAACCGCGACACGGTCTTTTGCCAGATACGAAGGGCCATGGACCTCATCCACTTTGTGGTGAAGGACAGCATTTTTGATTCGGCTAAGCACATGCCCTTCGACAAGCAGGCCAGCAACCCGAACTACGAGAACGAGAGCATATATACGACAATAAAGCGCATTGTAAACCTCATAAAAAGGTACAAATACCAGATGAGCTATTACGAGAGCAACAACGAGGGGAATAACAACTCCGACGCTTACTTTAATTTCCTGGACGACGATCTCTGGAAGTCGGAGAAGAACCTGGCCCCCTCAGCGGGCGGAGGCGGACGCATGGTGAACAACACAAACTTCAGGAAGCACATGAGTTCCGAGAGCATGGACCTGCGCGAGGAGCTATCGGTGGCATTTGAGAAGCTCTTCGAGAAGGCCCACGACTTCACAGACTCGCCGTACATAAGTCACAACCATCGAAAGAACATACTGTCCTACTGCGACAACTGCAAGCTGGAGTTCGACCTGTATCTGAACACCATCATGAAGGACCAGCACGAGAGTGCCGGGGTCCAGGTGAAGGGTCGCGACCCGGAACTGGGGATGCTGAGCAGTCTGGAGGAGCTGTGCAAACAGCTGGTGATCTCCGTGTCCAGTCAAATCGAGGACTTCAACGAGTCCCTGAAGATCTGCTCCAAGCTGGTCAAATCGTTCCACGTCCTGGCAACGAACTACGACATCGACAATCTAAACCAACGCTCTACGAAGTTCCACGACTGCTGTGACCACATCTTCGACATCTGCAAGCTCCTGCAGCACATAGCGCCCACGGAAAGGCTGCAGGTCCAGGCGAAGTGCCTGGCCATCAATCTGCGGATCTACGGACCGCAGGTCTTCATAGCGGCCAAGATCCTGTGGAAGTACTCGAACAGCAGCGCGGCCAACGAGAATTTCGAGTCCTTTTCGGACATGTGGAAGTGGCTAACGAACGAGATTTCTATGATCGCCAAGAAGATACTTGTATCAATTAATACGACTAAGAACGACAGAGAAGCTGAAGCTGAGGTAGGTTCCCCTAAACCTTAACCACTAATTTTCCTAACTACTTGCTCGCTTTCTCCAGAAATGTGAAAGCACAGATAAACTAACAAAATCCGGTGTACCTGCAACAGAAGATGGAGAAATGGTTGAGTATTCTGGCCTCGAAGGCAAAAACAATGGAGATCTAAACACATATCAATCAAAATGGAGTGAAGACTTGTCGGACGACAACGACATATTAAAAAGAGCTAAGAACATGTCAGCTATGGCTTTCCTTATGTATCAGTTTACAAAGGGAAACGGTTCTTTAAGAACAACTCAGGATTTGTTTACTCAAGCCGAATATTTTGCGGAGGAAGCCAATCGACTTTACAAAGTCCTCCGCCACTTTTCATACCAGGTAACCTCTCATATCTCTTTTACAGAGAAGTGCCTTAAATGTATATCCTTGCAGGTTCCCGCTAGTGACAACAAAAAGGATCTCCTTAACATTTTAGATAGAGTGCCGACTTTTGTCCAAGCACTTCAATTTACAGTCAAAGACCACACGGTTGGTAAAGCTGCCACTTTTGTGAAGGTCGATCATGTCATCAGAGAAACCAAAAACCTTATGAACGTTATAAATAAAGTAGTATCGAAGTGCTTTGAGTGCGCAACTAAGGTAAATAAGTCAAAGCCAAGCCGTGGGGCCATTTCTTACAGTTAAGATTACCAATATTTGAATGTGTATGATATTTATAATTTACTGTGATATTAAAGCATGCATTATTACAGGTATGATTTTTATGACTTTGTTGATTTTATTTAAAGGAGAGGAAAAGAGTCGATTTGGTTTTTGTTCTTTGAGACTCTATTAAACTCCCCTTAAAGATGTTTTCGTTACATCATATAAAACATCTTTCCCTTAAAACAAAAGCTATTTTGTTAACCCTTATAACAATATGTGTATCAAAAGCTATCGTAGAATCGTATATAATTTAAACGAGATTTTCTTTTGGTTAATAGATGGGATAACAGCAACCACATTTTAATTTAAGTGATGCTTTCTGGATAAATTTGAAAAGTATCTATCCCCTACAATTCTCGAGCGGAAGGAAAGAAATGCAGACAGTCTTTCATAATCTAAATTTAGCCGTTTGTTTCAGTTTCTATTTTTATTCTTGCTAGTTATAAGCTATAAAACCATTCTTTTTTAATTGTCAGACGACATTAACTAAATTACTTGAATATCCGCCTTGCAGTACAAACTAAATTTAACTGGGATAACTGGAGGACTCACTTCGGAAAGGTCCAACGAGAACATGGCCGGCGGAATGTGCGACTCCAAAGGAACGACGAGCAGCAGCGAGGGGAGCATGTGACATTACGGGATGGCTCGAAGAGCCAAAGGTGATGCACGGAGGACGAGGGTATCATTTTTACTGTTCTGAGCCCAAACTTTTTATTATTGTATTTATAGTGTACACTGTTAGCATTCTTAATACATTCAATTTTGTGTATTAGTTGAGGCCGCTTCTAGCGTTAGTTAATGTCAAAAACTTTATTAACATACAAAATCCAATTAGTTGTTTTAACAGCACGATCTTATAATGCATATTTTGTTTCACTACATTCGAAAAATAACGGCAATAAAGGTAATGAATGATGCAGATATGTACATAAAGGTGTTTAAATTGGGTCTACAAATCCGTTCGTAAATATTTCTTATTATTTTCATTTATGATCTGTGTTTGGGCACCACTGCTGCAACAGTTTGTCTTGTGTTCTTGGGACAAATTGTACACTTTTAGGGCGACTGTTGAAGTATCTTTCAATTGATCTGTTTGGGCTGTAGAGTTCTTGAGTTTTAGCAGGTTTTGAAAGAGCATTAGGTCCAGGGCAAACAAAGCTGCGCATATGAAAGAAAGCGTTCCCAACGAATAGGCAAAAATCAGAAGATCCTCGGACAATTGTTCCACCGAAAAAAATATCAGTAGTCCTTAAAATGAAAGTTTTTGTCAGCTACTCTAAATAAATTATTTAAGAATACTTTACCCTCTATAGTGAAAAACAGAACTCCACAGGTTAACAGAATTATTTCGCAAGTACCATAGTTCGAGGTTGTCTCAATAATTCTAAAAAATTAAGTTTATTTTTTATTAGAAGTTGATAAAGGTGACTCATGGTTGAGAAGTAATTACCTTGTGAGAAGTAAAACTGCTGAAATAAATGTGTATCCCAAGAATGTAAGAGTGCTAAAGTCGTCGCCTTCCTTTGACCAAGAAATATTGTTCAAGAGTGTCCATTCCCTGGATTGTTTTTTGTTAATTACAAACACCCTCTCCGAATGTTTGTCTGACAATCTTTTAACAATCAACGCAGCCACAGTAGCAATCTATTAAATAATTGTATAATTTGATTATTTCTATATATTTCAAAGTTTTCCACTAAATAGGTTCACCAAATCCGACTCAATGTGGGTCACTTTGAATATGAACATGAAAAGATACTTGCAAGCTGGAGAACTTTTGTGCATATACAAGCCGCTAGTCCCATGTTAGACGTTCTTAACGAATACTTTAATACTGAGGCACGTACGGGCAAAATTTATCTGACACATGCAAATTTTCTCACATTTGGTTTCGTTGTTTAGCGTGGGAAAAGACGAAGTCAAAGAAGTGACTAGGCCAAGAAAAATGTTCATTTTTTAGACATATTCAGCTATGGCTGGTTTTCAACTAATAGTAACCCATACCTTGAACTATAGAAACAAACGAGCTGACTTTGGCCCCTAGAGCGCATATTGTTTTATGCTTGTACGCTAGTCAGCAAAATAAATATCAATAAAATAAATAAATGTGGTTGCTTGATCTGTGTTTAAGGCTATAAACAAACGAGAACGGAAGCTAACTTTGCCAAGCCAAAGTCTTAACACCCTTGCAGTCAGACCGAAAATTAATGACTGGTGCACTACCAGAATCAACAAAATATGCTAATGAAAAAATGAAAAATCGTCATAAAATTTCCAATCGAGTGGCATTCACAGCTCAACATTTTCATTTTGGTCGATTTTTCGCCAAAATGGATGATGTAACCCCTTATTAAAAATGCCGAAAACCGGAGATCCGGAAAAGTGCACTTTTATTTCGGTTTTTTTGATCAAAAACCTGGGAAATAATGGTCACATGTTGGAATGCCATACCTCGTTGAAATCGTTATAAAATTTCCAATCGAGTGGCATTCACAGCTCAAAATTTTCATTTTGGTCGATTTTTCGCCAAAATGGATGATGTAACCCCTTATCAAAAATGCCGAAATCCGGAGATCCGGAAAAATCAACTTTTATTTCGGTTTTTTGATCAAAACCATTGGAAAAAATGGTTTGCTGTTGGAATGTCATACCTCGTTGAATTGGTTGTAAAATTTCCAATCGAGTGGCATTCACAGCTCAAAATTTTCATTTTGGGCGATTTTTCGCCAAAATGGATGATGTAACCCCTTATCAAAAATGCCGAAAACCGGAGATCCGGAAAAGTGCACTTTTATTTCGGTTTTTTGACCAAAAACCTGGGAAATAATGGTCACATGTTGGAATGCCATACCTCGTTGAAATCGTTATAAAATTTCCAATCGAGTGGCATTCACAGCTCAACATTTTCATTTTGGTCGATTTTTCGCCAAAATGGATGATGTAACCCCTTATTAAAAATGCCGAAAACCGGAGATCCGGAAAAGTGCACTTTTATTTCGGTTTTTTTGATCAAAAACCTGGGAAATAATGGTCACATGTTGGAATGCCATACCTCGTTGAAATCGTTATAAAATTTCCAATCGAGTGGCATTCACAGCTCAACATTGTCATTTTGGTCGATTTTTATCAAAAATGCCGAAAACCGGAGATCCGGAAAAATCCACTTTTATTTCGGTTTTTTGATCAAAACCCTAGAAAAAATGGTTAAATGTTGGAATGTCATACCTCTTTGAATTCGTTATAAAATTTCAAATCGAGTGGCATTCACAGCTCAAACATTTCATTTTGGTCGGTTTTTCGCCAAAAATGACAATGTAACCCCTTATCAAAAATGCCGAAAACCGGAGATCCGGAAAAATCAACTTTTATTTCGGTTTTTTGATCAAAACCCTGGAAAAAATGGTTTGCTGTTGGAATGTCATACCTCGTTGAATTGGTTGTAAAATTTCCAATCGAGTGGCATTCACAGCTCAAAATTTTCATTTTGGTCGATTTTTCGCCAAAATGGATGATGTAACCCCTTATCAAAAATGCCGAAAACCGGAGATCCGGAAAAGTGCACTTTTATTTCGGTTTTTTGATCAAAAACCTGGGAAATAATGGTCACATTTTGGAATGCCATACCTCGTTGAAATCGTTATAAAATTTCCAATCGAGTGGCATTCACAGCTCAACATTTTCATTTTGGTCGATTTTTCGCCAAAATGGATGATGTAACCCCTTATCAAAAATGCCGAAAACCGGAGATCCGGAAAAATCAACTTTTATTTCGGTTTTTTGATCAAAACCCTTGGAAAAAATGGTTTGCTGTTGGAATGTCATACCTCGTTGAATTGGTTGTAAAATTTCCAATCGAGTGGCATTCACAGCTCAAAATTTTCATTTTGGTCGATTTTTCGCCAAAATGGATGATGTTACCCCTTATCAAAAATGCCGAAAACCGGAGATCCGGAAAAGTGCACTATTATTTCGGTTTTTTGATCAAAAACCTGGGAAATAATGGTCACATGTTGGAATGCCATACCTCGTTGAAATCGTTATAAAATTTCCAATCGAGTGGCATTCACAGCTCAAAATTTTCATTTTGGTCGATTTTTCGCCAAAATGGATGATGTAACCCCTTATCAAAAATGCCGAAAACCGGAGATCCGGAAAAGTGCACTTTTATTTCGGTTTTTTGATTAAAAACCTGGGAAAAAATGGTTTGCTGTTGGAATGTCATACCTCGTTGAATTGGTTGTAAAATTTCCAATCGAGTGGCATTCACAGCTCAAAATTTTCATTTTGGTCGATTTTTCGCCAAAATGGATGATGTAACCCCTTATCAAAAATGCCGAAAACCGGAGATCCGGAAAAGTGCACTTTTATTTCGGTTTTTTGACCAAAAACCTGGGAAATAATGGTCACATGTTGGAATGCCATACCTCGTTGAAATCGTTATAAAATTTCCAATCGAGTGGCATTCACAGCTCAACATTTTCATTTTGGTCGATTTTTCGCCAAAATGGATGATGTAACCCCTTATCAAAAATGCCGAAAACCGGAGATCCGGAAAAGTGCACTTTTATTTCGGTTTTTTGATCAAAAACCTGGGAAATAATGGTCACATGTTGGAATGCCATACCTCGTTGAAATCGTTATAAAATTTCCAATCGAGTGGCATTCACAGCTCAACATTGTCATTTTGGTCGATTTTTATCAAAAATGCCGAAAACCGGAGATCCGGAAAAATCAACTTTTATTTCGGTTTTTTGATCAAAACCCTTGGAAAAAATGGTTTGCTGTTGGAATGTCATACCTCGTTGAATTGGTTGTAAAATTTCCAATCGAGTGGCATTCACAGCTCAAAATTTTCATTTTGGTCGATTTTTCGCCAAAATGGATGATGTAACCCCTTATCAAAAATGCCGAAAACCGGAGATCCGGAAAAATCAACTTTTATTTCGGTTTTTTGATCAAAACCCTTGAAAAAATGGTTTGCTGTTGGAATGTCATACCTCGTTGAATTGGTTGTAAAATTTCCAATCGAGTGGCATTCACAGCTCAAAATTTTCATTTTGGTCGATTTTTCGCCAAAATGGATGATGTAACCCCTTATCAAAAATGCCGAAAACCGGAGATCCGGAAAAGTGCACTTTTATTTCGGTTTTTTGATCAAAAACCTGGGAAATAATGGTCACATTTTGGAATGCCATACCTCGTTGAAATCGTTATAAAATTTCCAATCGAGTGGCATTCACAGCTCAACATTTTCATTTTGGTCGATTTTTCGCCAAAATGGATGATGTAACCCCTTATCAAAAATGCCGAAAACCGGAGATCCGGAAAAATCAACTTTTATTTCGGTTTTTTGATCAAAACCCTTGGAAAAAATGGTTTGCTGTTGGAATGTCATACCTCGTTGAATTGGTTGTAAAATTTCCAATCGAGTGGCATTCACAGCTCAAAATTTTCATTTTGGTCGATTTTTCGCCAAAATGGATGATGTAACCCCTTATCAAAAATGCCGAAAACCGGAGATCCGGAAAAGTGCACTTTTATTTCGGTTTTTTGATTAAAAACCTGGGAAAAAATGGTTTGCTGTTGGAATGTCATACCTCGTTGAATTGGTTGTAAAATTTCCAATCGAGTGGCATTCACAGCTCAAAATTTTCATTTTGGTCGATTTTTCGCCAAAATGGATGATGTAACCCCTTATCAAAAATGCCGAAAACCGGAGATCCGGAAAAGTGCACTTTTATTTCGGTTTTTTGATCAAAAACCTGGGAAATAATGGTCACATGTTGGAATGCCATACCTCGTTGAAATCGTTATAAAATTTCCAATCGAGTGGCATTCACAGCTCAACATTTTCATTTTGGTCGATTTTTATCAAAAATGCCGAAAACCGGAGATCCGAAAAAGTCAACTTTTATTTCGGTTTTTTGATCAAAACCCTTGGAAAAAATGGTTTGCTGTTGGAATGTCATACCTCGTTGAATTGGTTGTAAAATTTCCAATCGAGTGGCATTCACAGCTCAAAATTTTCATTTTGGTCGATTTTTCGCCAAAATGGATGATGTTACCCCTTATCAAAAATGCCGAAAACCGGAGATCCGGAAAAGTGCACTATTATTTCGGTTTTTTGATCAAAAACCTGGGAAATAATGGTCACATGTTGGAATGCCATACCTCGTTGAAATCGTTATAAAATTTCCAATCGAGTGGCATTCACAGCTCAAAATTTTCATTTTGGTCGATTTTTCGCCAAAATGGATGATGTAACCCCTTATCAAAAATGCCGAAAACCGGAGATCCGGAAAAGTGCACTTTTATTTCGGTTTTTTGATTAAAAACCTGGGAAAAAATGGTTTGCTGTTGGAATGTCATACCTCGTTGAATTGGTTGTAAAATTTCCAATCGAGTGGCATTCACAGCTCAAAATTTTCATTTTGGTCGATTTTTCGCCAAAATGGATGATGTAACCCCTTATCAAAAATGCCGAAAACCGGAGATCCGGAAAAGTGCACTTTTATTTCGGTTTTTTGATTAAAAACCTGGGAAAAAATGGTTTGCTGTTGGAATGTCATACCTCGTTGAATTGGTTGTAAAATTTCCAATCGAGTGGCATTCACAGCTCAAAATTTTCATTTTGGTCGATTTTTCGCCAAAATGGATGATGTAACCCCTTATCAAAAATGCCGAAAACCGGAGATCCGGAAAAGTGCACTTTTATTTCGGTTTTTTGATCAAAAACCTGGGAAATAATGGTCACATGTTGGAATGCCATACCTCGTTGAAATCGTTATAAAATTTCCAATCGAGTGGCATTCACAGCTCAACATTTTCATTTTGGTCGATT